AGCCACATAATTTTTTTTTTTTTACTTTAAAGGATGGCTTACTAACTTCTCTTTGATTTCTCTTTTAGTAAAAGAATAACTTGATGTTTCTTGGTCCTGATCCTGACAACCCTTCAACTAAATTTTCTGCCAACTGAATTTCCCTTGTTACCTCCTAAATTATTAGGAAAACTTTTTTGGTTCCCTTTTTAGGTAGGGTCAGTGCCCAATCTCAGCTATAGAAGATGGACTGTCACCCCTCTGTACCCCTTTTAAGATTAAAAAGGACCAAAGTTTAGGGGGGAAATGAGATAGGATAGATAGATGAGGAGACAGTGAAACTTACTTTAATCAGTATTTAAAGGACCAGACTCTGACACTGGAACAAGGATAGCCAGAGCAGAAGGCCCCCCCATCTTTTAGATGCTAAGTTACAGAAACAGGGAGACAAAGAGGAGCTACCTGCTTCTGCTTTCCTCCTGAGATGTTAAGAGCTGCAAGGATCCTGGGAGGGGTGGAGAAATAACCACATCTAGGAAAGGGAAGTTCTAAAGCATCTCTGATTTAGGGTATGATTTGGAAGGGTGACCCCTCCCTGTCAGCCATCTCAGCCACAGAGCCCATTATCTTTGATCACGTGTATTCACCCAGCTCTCCACTATAAAACTAAGAGTTGGGGAGCACCATTTGGAGTCTTTGCTCCCATTTCCTGCGTGGGGAACAGGAAATGTTTCTCTCTCTTCCTGACCCCCCCCACCCCGCCTATACTTTATCCTGTTATACTAAAATAAATCCTTGCTAAAACTTTTATCTGGTGAGACTCCTTGTTGTGAGATACCTTAAAATGCTTTTCAATGTTTGTGGATCTCAAGGACCTGTGATTTTGCGTGGAAACTGAGAACTTGTGGGAGCCCTCTCAACCATCCTCTGGTGACAGGATCACAATCCTCCTGATCTCTGCCTCCTGAGTAGCTAGGATTACAGGTGTGAGCCACCAGCGCCCAGCCTAAGAAACCCTTTGAGTGGCCCCTTTCTCATGAGAAATCCTTAGGAATCCCCACTCCTGGGCTTGGCTCTCAGTTATCCCAGAGCACTTGCCTGTGCTGGCTCTACCAGCCTGGCTGCCCTCATCTCTGTGCTCCTGCCACTAGTGCCCAGCTTCCAGGCCCTCCTTCTTTACTAGGCAATTCTTTTCTCCTGGACTTGCAGCCTTTACCTGCATTCTTGCTAATCTTCCCCTGAGGCCCTTCCTCCCTTGAAACCCTCCTCTCCTATTCCAGAGAAATCCCTGCTTGCACTGCCATCCATTTCTTCTTCTGAAATACACCCATGGACCAGCCCCAGTCCCTCTGCCTCATTGTCCAATCATAACCAACCTCCAAATCAGTGTTAGGGCAGATGAGAGTGCCCATTCCAGTCCCTGTCCCTGTGGATGCTTTGGTCAATGGCGAAGCATCCAGTTTATCCTGCACCCTTCTCTACAAGAATGCTTACGCACTCTGGGCTTGGCGAAACTGGATTTAAATCCCGGTTCTGCTGTGTGCTGCCTCAGTTTCCTCATCTGTAAAGTGGGAATAGGGCTGCTAAGTTCAAGGAATTGTCATGAGTATGAATTGAGAGACTGAGAGGGAGGGTGGCATGCTTTAAAGGGGGCTGGGAAGGAGGAATGGCTTGGATGAGTGCAGGAATGTCTCCTCTGACCTTGTACATGGTAGGGAGGGGCTCCATTGTAGGGTGTAGCAGGCCCTCCCCCACCTCTCTAGGCCAGCCCAATCCCTTGCTGTCCAACTCACTTCCTGTCTGTCCTGTATATTAGCTCCTCACCTCTTTATCTGTGTCCAGCTCTTTTTAAAACTTGCAGCTTATCTCTGTGACTACACACAGGCGCTAATGGGTGGTACAGGGTGTAGGCACTGCATGGAGAAAAATCAGCTGGGTGGCTAAGCCCCAGCAGCTCTCCAAACCTTAATTTAGTGTCTTTAAACTGCAGACAATAAAAATATGCACCTTGTGGATGTCTTGAGGTTTCAGGCCAGTACCATTCAGCATGGTGGCCTCTAGCCACACGCGGCTGTTTAAATTTAAATGAATAAGAGTTAATTAGAGTTTTAAAAATTCAGCTCCTTAGTCACACTTGACACATTTCAGGTGTGACCTACATGTGGCCAGTGGCAACCATATTGGATAGCACAGACAGAGGACATTTTCATCACTGAAGGAAAGACCAGGGATGAGGATCCGGTCCAGGGGCAAGATCATTTGCCTAGCATGTGCTAGGTCCTGGGTTCAATCCCCACATGGACAAAAAAATAAAAAAGCATAAAAGAAGGACGATCTATTAGACAGCAGCTTTGGTGTGGACAATCTATGTGTAGCACTGGACCATTCATCAGCTATGTGTTATAACTCATTTGAAATTGCAAACTGAGATAGGGCCCACAATTTCAGTGCAGAATTCTGCACTCCTTGAAGTGACAGCATAGACCTCACAGGACTCCTTGAAGGCATTCTCTAGGATGGGTCTGAATGGGGTCCTTGGGGCTCAGACAGCTGAGTGCTTTATGACATGCTGAATACTTTAGCCTGAAGGACATTGTAAGTCTCTCTCTGACTTTTTCTGCTCTTCTTTCTCCTGTTACCCGTTACTCCCTCCATCTCCCCCTCAGAAATTCTCTCACCTACCCTGTCTGATAGTCAAAAGACCTTCATTCAGGAAGGAGTCCTGCCCTATGTCTGGGAAAGGAATGCCACACAGAGAGGCCAGGAAGAATCTGTGGCTCATCCCTGCAATTCCAACTATTCAGGATGCAGAGATAAGGAGGATTGTGGTTTAAAGCCAATCTGGCCAGAAAGTAAGAACCCCATTTCAACCAATAGATGGGTGTGGTGGTACAAAACTGTAATCCAAGCTATCAGAGAGGCACAGGTAGGAGGACTGCTGTCTGAGGCCAGCCCCAGGCAAAAACCCAAGACCCAGCCAGACGCAGGTGGCTCGCACCTGTAATCCTAGCTACTCAGGAGGATCGCAGTTCAAAGTCAGCCTGGACAAGTAGTTCGAAAGACCCTATCTTGAAAAAAATCACAAAAAGGGGTTGGTGGAGTGGCTCCAGGTGTAGGCCATGAGTTCAAGCCCTGGTACTACAAAACAAACAAACCCCAAAAACCCAAGACTCTGAAAAATAACTAAAGTAAAACGGGTTAGAGGTGTGGCTCAAGTAGAGCACCTGCCTAACAAGCATGAGGCCCTGAGTTCAAACCCTAATACCACCACCACCACCAAAAAAAAAGACAAGTCCTGCTGTGTTACTTCTCCTTAGCCTACTACATCAGATCATCCCCTTTCTACACATCTGTTCATCCTTCATCAAAAGTATAAACATTGATGTTTTTTTCCGAGTCTTTACGTCTTCACTTCTGAAGGCTCCCGTGTCAGCAAAAAGTTTGATTGAATGAATGTTATGCTTTTCGAGTGAGGCAAGGGGTCACATACACCTTTCCACCCCTACAGAATGGACCAAGTTCAAAACAGAGTTACAGCTCCCACTGCAGGCACACAAAGTAGGAGTCACTCTCCAGATGGAGAAAGAAGCAGTAGCAGGGGCAGCTAATTATGGGGAAGGGCTTCAAGCAATAAGAACTTTCCCATATTGGGCTTTTCAAAGGAAAAGTGGGATGTGGGTTTTGTAGATGTGTTATGTTAGGGTCTCTTCTCTCCTCTTCCCAAATTTTTTTGGGTTTTGCCAGAGAAGAGAACTCTAGATCCTGGGTACTTTTATCCACATGGCTCCTTTATAAGGAAAATGAACACTTGGCACAGAAAAATTCAGTGACCTGCCCAAGGTTCCTCAGTGAGCAAGAGCAGAATGGGACTTCTGGGTGCAGTTTCCTGAAGCCAGAGTCTAGCATAGTGTTGATGTCACCCAGGCGACAGCTTGGTACCGCTCAAGCCCTGATTCATGTCCTAGACCCCATAGTGAGAGGTCTCTGCTGACTCCTACCCTGACTGGAGCAGGTAGTCAGCTTTGAGGACCAGCCTTCTGTTCTGATCCCTCTGAGAACCTCTTCCACGGAAGGCAGGGCTTTCTCTCTATGCACTTGTGTTGTCTTTCTGTGTCCAACACATGACTTGACACATAGGAGATGCCTGGTGGAACCGAGGGAACGAGGTGGCTCACCTAGCCCTGTGAGACCGTGTGGGCTTGCATGAGGGGCTCTGTAAATCTCAGGGTTCCTGTGAGCCTAAGGTTCCCACCTTTTTAGTGATTTGAACCCTTTTGGCAGCCTACTGAATGAAGCCCTTCCAGAATAGTTTTTGAGTATTTATCTTATTGAAATACAACACACATATGGAAAAGTGCACCCATCTATAGTGCACATCAGTGAATTTTAATGAACACACTTGTAGCTAAATAAATCAACCATGACCAGCGTCCAGAAGGGCCCCTCGCCCCTCCCAATCTTTGCTCCCCAAGAGGAGCCTCTATCCCAGCAATATTTTCAAGCGCAAAATTGCAAGGGTAAGAAGAGGCGGTTCAGAGGATGATGGGGCGGGGTTCTGAGCGTGTGGGCTTGAGGGGGGGAGTGGGAATGTGGCTGGAGGTCGTAAGGCGTGGGGGTCACTGCGTGGCCGCTGGGGGTGGAGGGATTGATAGGGAATTTGAGTGTAGGTTGGGGGGTTGCTGCATGAGGTCTTGCGGACTTTCTAAAGTGCATGTGTGGGCGGGGCGGACAGGGGCGGGGCCTCGGCGGGGTCGAAGGGGCGGGTCCGTTCGTGGGCTGCGGGGTCGTGAAGGGCGGGGTAAATGGACAGGGCCTCAGGAGGGGCGCCAGCGGGGTCGCAGGGGCGGGGCTGGTGGGCAGGAGGGGCGGGGCCGGCGGGCGCGCGCACGCCGCCGGCGCGCCCCCTCCCGGCCGCCATGTTGGCTGGTGTGTGGGTGTCAAACGCTGCACGGGCTTCAGTCGCTCCCGCCTCTCCAGCGCTACCGGCGGCCGCAGCCGCGCACTCGCGCTGGCCGAGAGGAGCGGAGGTGAGCGGAGCGGAGGTGAGCCGGGACCCGCGGGGTTGGGAAGCCCTGCACCCAGGGCGCGGACGCGGCCAGAGCACAAGCTTCTCCCACCTCAGAAGCCCCCTAGCATGCACCCCTGGCGCCTCAGCCGGACCCCACCCCGGACGGGACTCTCTTCTCTCCAACCAGGCCCCGCCCCACAGGCTGGAGCATGGCCCTTTTCGCATCGGGATCCCTCTTAATGCTTCAAGGACCCCATCCGTTTCCCTATCTGGGAGCTCCCCTTACATTCTCGGAGTCTGGGGTTTCCCTTACTCCCACCTCAGATCTGGGAGCCCCCTCCCCAGAGCGCATTCCTCCTTTCCCGGGGCCAGGCGCCCCTTCCTCCAAAGCCTGGTTTCCCTTTCGCTCCCGTGCAGAGTAACAGCCCAGCCTCCCTCCAGGAATCGGGGGAGGGGTCCTCTTCTCTGTGCAGAATCCCGGCTCGTATCTTTCTCCTTCGGGTGGACCAGGGCCCCTTTACCGCTCCGGGGACTAGATTTACCCCCTCCCCAGCCCCCACCTGCACAGCGCAGAGGGGACGGGGGCGGCAGAGCTAGGTTCCAGCTGCCTTTTGTTCCGCGTGGGATGGCAGAGACCCGGCCCTGCGGTCCTGCTCGGCTAATCCGGGGAGGGTGAACTAGGCGCGTAGGGGCCAGCATCTTCCAGGAGACCCTTCTCTCTTCCCTTGGGGAGGCTCCCCCGGAGCGGGAGCTGGGAGCGTTGGAAGAGGCAGGCCCTTACTTAGAGGAGTCCGGGCCAACAGGTTTTGTTTGCGACCTGAAGTTGGCCCAGCGGTTTTGTGGGGCGGGGTAGCTCCCTACCCCAGCAAGGCCTGTGAAAGTCGCTTCCTCGAAGAGTCCAGGAGCTCGGTCTCTTCCGGCGGCCCCTTCACTGTATTGCTGGCTTGGGGGACGCATTGGAAGTGTGTGCTTTTGTGGTGGTTGTGGGGTTATTTAACTACCATTGGAATTCTTCTGATGGGGGAAACTGAGGCCCAGATGCAGTGATTTGCCCAAGGTCACCCAGCGATACTATGTCAGTGCCAGAGCTGGAAGCTCCATCTCCAGGGCACTCCACCACACTTACGATTTTTTTTTTTTTTTTTGAAGAGATGCTTAGGATTCCCCCAACCCCCCTGCCTTTTATTTTTAACATTCACACAAGGAAATGGGCAGGAAAAGATGAGTATGAATTCGTCCTGTCCATCTCCAAAAAATAACCTGTGAAAGAAGGGATTGGAATATGAGTGGAAATGATTGAAAAAGGTGAATTTTAATGACCTACACTCACCCCCCTCATTACATAATGTAATGAAGATTTAGCAGAAAACACGTGCATCTTGTAGCTCTTGATGTGGAATGGGAGGTGGTGACTAGATCAGATCCTCACACACAGTGATTGTGTTTGTACTGATAATTAAGTTTTCATTTGTATTTGAATGGGCATCGAAAGGGACTGCAATTTGTTTCTGCAATTTGTGCTTGTGTTTGGGACAAATGATTGCTGTGGGGAAACACGTGTATCTCATCTTTTACTTGTGTTTTTACTTTTACCTTTGTAAAGTTTGTTCTCCGAGTTTGAAAATTGGGCTACTTATCCTTACCAGCTGGGCTATTCTTTTGTAAGCATTGGTTATTAAAGAGTTGGGTAAAGTGTAAATTCCCTTACTGCATGATTCAGGACTGCCTGCATCCCACAAGCTCCTGGATCAGGAGGAAGTTTGGATAGTCCTGTGGGGTGTACTTATCTCTGGTTTACAGGAGAACTCTCCCAGAGCTCTGAGCTGGAGGGAGAACTCTCGCTGCAAGGTATGTGGGGCCAAGCATTTGAGGTGTGAAGAAATGTAAAACTTTCAAGTGATAATACCTGGTCTGCTGTAGGCAGTCTTGAAAAATGACCCATCCTTTGTAGAAACCCTCGGTGGAAATACTTTACATCTTACGTAACTTTATTTCATAGTGTAGCATGGGTTTCCCAAGAGGGGAGGTTCCGATAAGAATCCTGCAAAAGTAGTTGAAAAGCTTTGGAGACTCTGATTTATTTTAATGGTTTGGCATTTTCTAAAGTTGAAGTTCTTTGGCATTGCTTGTTTTGTTTTAGCTTCAGTAGAAGTGAAAGTTTTGGGTTCTTTGTAGACTAGAGTCCGAAGAGAATGAGTTCTATTCAAAATGCAGGGAATTATCAGTGCCTACATTTGGGACTTACCTTTCTAAGCTTTCTGGCAATTGTTCTCCCTGTTCCCCAGAGCCTTCCTGTTCATGGTGATGGACTGTGGATGACTGTTTTATGGCATGAGTACCTGGTGACCCTGAGCCTTGGGGAAGAAAAAGGGCTTGGATTTGGGATGTTTGAGGTTGGACAGGGACAGGATGTGAGGAATTAGGCAGTTCTACTCTGTTTGCTGGACTTTTTTTGGGGGGGGTGAGGGGATAATGGGAGAGGTGAGCGGAGACTGGGTCTTGCTATGTAGCCCACTCTGGCCTGGAACTTGTTATCCTCCTGCCTTAGCCTCCTGAGTGCTGGGATTATAGGGGTGCACCACCTGACTTTTGTCTCCTGGACTTTTAACTCATGTTTGTTTTAAACCTTTTGTCAAACCTTTGCTAGCAACTCTGCTAGTGTTTGGGTCCCTTTCCTTTGCTCTCCTAATCTTTCCACACTCTTGAGTTTTTTTTTTTGTTGGTGGTTTTGGAGGTACTGGGGTTTGAACCAGGGCCTCATGCTTGCTAGGAAGGTGCTCTACTGCTTGAGCCATTCTGCCAGCCCAAATGTGAGGCAAGCACTATTGTTATTCTCATTTTTTTCCCCCTTTGGAGGTCCTGAGGTTTGAACTCAGGGCCTTGAACTTGTAAAGCAGGTGCTCTACCACTTGAGCCACACCTCCAGTCCTCCACACTCTGTTTGTTGGAGCACTTTGCACATTGTGTGTTTGAGATTCTTGTGACGCTGTGACGTCTTAGAAGCCAGTGGTTGCCCTGTTTTTTTTTCTTTCTTTTTTTTAAAACTCTCTGGCGCCCAGCTTGGTCTGTGACATGTGGTAGGTGCTCGGTAAACGCCTACAATAAGTTGTCCTGGGAGCAAGTGGGCACATTTTTATTGTTAACTCACTAACAGGCTCCACTGTTCACTCTCGCTCTGGCTTAAACCACCACTGTTGGTCTAGCAGTCATGTGCCAGTCACACAAATATTGTCCCCCTTCTACAGATGAGGAAACAGACCCAGGGAACTTAAGTCATGTGCCCCAAATTACACATCCTGCAGTAAGTGAGGGGGATAGAACTTAAATGGTATGTTAGACTCTGTAATATTATATCTGTGCTCTCATTTGAGAAACCCAGTCTCACAGGTATGACGTGACATCCTGCAAGTTAACAATGGACTGAATAATGTGGGTGATATATTAAGATCGTTTTTGTCAGATGCATTGTGAAATGACTGTTTATGTTGAGGTTTTGAAAATTGACAAGTTTTCTGATTAGTTAGTGGAATTTTCTTTCCTAATTAGCTTATTCATAGTGTCTTAAAAAAAGGAACTTAAAAAAACAAATACAGTGAAGTACATGTACGTGCAGTTAAGTGTGTATATTCTGTCACTTCCATCTTTGGATATGTTTGACCATACTTGTTTCCAGTCAGGAGGTTAAGTTTTCATTGTTCTGTAATCTTGAAAGCTCTTTCAGAAGCCTTAAAAAAAAAAAACAAAAACAAAAGCTAAACAAAAAGTGCACTAATTTCATCAGCATAATATTGGGATTACTACCCCTCTGTGAGTGCAAAGACAGAGACTGAGTGGTTAAGTAACCTGGGCCAGGAGTCAAACTGAGCTCTGTGATTCCCAGACCTGGGTCTCTTCTTCTCCAGCTGCTCCTGTAGGAAGGTGCCACAGAATGGGTATTCCTTTACATTAGAAGATAAATCTGTGATCTGAAATTACCATCAAGTTTACTGGGAAGGTTGACAGCTGTGAATGAGGAGGTTTTTGGCTTTCTCCTGACCTTAGGATCTCTGAAAGCACTGCGGTTTGAATGTCAGTAATTTAATGGGCCACTTTATCTGACAGAGGCTAGATTTAGGGTTTGATTAGAAAAAAAAAAAGCCTGCCTCCTTTGAACCAGATCTGCTGCATTGTTACAGTGCTCCCTAAAAGTGTGTTGGATTCTTTCTGGTGACTCATTCTTAGCGCTCCCAGGTACTGGAGCCAGCTTTGTTTCTGGGCACAGAAAGGCGCTTTCCTGGTTCCGTTTCTTGTTGGTCCTGCTCAAGGCAGAGTATACTGCACTTTCAAGCAAGGAACCAGGCACACAGAGGGCTGTAAATAAAGGGACTCACATGTCTTTTTTCATAGAACCCAGTTTGATAAATAGAACAAGGAAAGCAGGCTCTTCCTGAGGGATGGCTGGCCATCGAGGGCTAATGCATGATGTGGAAATCAGAGTATTTATAATTAATCACTTCTTAGTGCCGGCTGCATCCTTCCTTTGGCTCCCAACCCTCTTTGCTAATGTCATTGTCAAATCGCTCACATCATGGCAACTCAGGAGTTGTGAGTACCAAATGGCAGTTTGGCTACAAAGGTCATGTGGCAGATATGTTTGGAATCAGTTGTGAGTACTGTGTGGTCTCCTGGTTGGGTGGCTTGGGGTCCATCAGTCACTTATCTTTGGTGTCTTCATCTCTGAAGTGGGGCTGGCAGTGACTACTTCATGGAATGGACTTGCAGTTCCTCAAACTCCAGTGTGTCCGAATAGTTTAGAGGGCTGGTTCATGACACTTCTGGGCTCTACCTAGTGTTTCCCATTCAGTAGACGGGCCTGAGAATGTACATTTTGAGTCACTTTTCATGTGCTGCTGGTGCACATGACCTAGAGAGGACAGAGGAGAAGGCATGTAAGTATTTTGTACCAGCTGGCTGTGCAGAGGAAACTCAAAATGGCACTGCCTTTCTGCCCAGCAATGCTGCTAAATGTTGCTCTGAAGATGGTGGTGTGACATT